CCTAGCTGTGGATATCTGGTGGACGATCCGTGCGAGTTGCAGTTCGGTCCCGTCTTGTTTCCTGAAGCCGGATTGGTTGGAGGGTAAGTGCGGTGCTATGTGATTGTACAGACGAGAGTGGACTATTTTTTCTTGTGTTTTTGATATTATACTGAGCAGGGAGATGGGTCGGTAGTTGGTAGGATGGGAGGGGTTGCCCGACTTGGGGATGGGTGTAATAGTTGCGTCTTTCCAATCCTGTGGTATTTCTTCGGTTCTGAAGGACAGATTGTAGAGACTAGTGAGAGATGGGGAGATTTCCTTTGCAGTTTCTTTCAGGAGCCGAGTTGGGATGTTGTCAAAGCCTGGGCTCTTGCCAGTGTCTAGACTGCATAGAAGCTTCTCGACCTCTTCCACTGTTGCTGCGATTGTATTTAGAGTATGACTGATGTCAGGGGTAGTGTTGATGTCTGGTGTAGTACAGGTGGTCTTGTCGATGGACTGTTGGCTTTGGGAGATAAAGAACTTGTTGAGAGCTGTTGCTTTCTCCATAGCCGTGGCTGCAGTGGAGTTGGCTGTCGATAGTGTGGGAATTGTTTGCTTAGGCGGTTTTTTCAGGTGCTTCAGTAGACGGTGGAGGTTTGTACCCGTTGACGTTGTTTGCTGGACAAAGTCGGACTTAGCCTGTCGCAAAAGAGCGGTTACGCTGGGCTGTGTACAGTTTCCAATCTGAGTCTAGTTGGGTTGCCTTGTAGAAGCGGAACTGTTTGTGCTTTGTTTTGATCTGGCTGAGGAGATCCTTCGTCATCCAGGGACGAGTGGGCGTAGAATTTTTGCGGGACTTGCTTCTGGTCACTTGGCAGTGGTGCACGGCTAGTTTCAGTATCTGGTCTCTCCAGAAGTTCCAGAATGAGGGCTGAGGGTCAGTGGGATGTGGATCGTACTGCAGATTGCAGGTAGCAAGAGCTTCACGCAGGGACGCAATGCGTTCCTCGCTCCACAACGAGTATGTGCTGGAGGTGCTTTGCTGTGTAGTACTGCTCTCATTATTATTATAATTTGTATTATTGTTTCTGTGGGTGGTGTGCTGCTGGGGTCGTATGTTGCCTTGTATGACAACATGATCAGAGGCACCCATAGGGGGCAGGCTTGTGATGGTGATGTTATGGCGGCTGAGGCTAGAGATGACCAGGTCCAGGCACGATGTAGGTGTGTGTTGGCGTAGGTGGGTGGCAAAGGAGACGTGTTGTGTGAGGCCACGAGTCTCGCACAGCCAATGCAGGTCCTCACCTAAGGCATCGGTGGTGTCGCTGGGGTGCCACAAGCAGTTCTTGGCGTTGAAGTCGCCAAGGAGAAGTATCTCATCCTGGTGTCTTTCAACTAGCTTTATGGCTCTCTCCAGTTCCATCACGAACTCTGCGGGGTCGGACCGCGGGGGACGGTAGATGTTCCCCACCACAAGGGAGGCTTGGCCGATTGTTATTCTAATCCAAATACATTCCGCTTGAGTCATGGGAATGGTAATTGTCTCGTGTTGGCAGCTGTGTGGTATGTATGTGGCGACTCCTCCACTAAAGGTGTCCCGGTCCGCTCTTATGAGTTTGTAGCCGTTGATGGCGTACATCCCGTCGCTGTCCGATGGATCCGCCCAGGTTTCCTGGATGGCGATTATTGACGGTTGTTGCAACTTTGCCACGTGGCTAAGCTCGTCCATCTTGTTGAACAGACACCTGACGTTCGAGCTGATGAAATTCGCGACTTCCATTATTTTTTATTTATTTTTGTAATTTGTTTCGTTTTTTTGGTATTTCCGCAATTGAAAGTATTGTTCTCACTGATATTGTGTGGAGGACAGCGCTAGGATTGAATATCGTGTGACACCAGTGGGCTGAAGCGTGAGCCCTGTGCCGGGGCAAGGGGTCGCCTTTGGCCAGGGTCGATGTTGTTGCTCTCTTTTTGTTTTTGGAATTTTTGAAATCAGGTGAGGATTCCGCATTGGGACTGGGTCTCCTGCGTCGTTCGGAGGTAATCCAGGGGTTTGCTGGCTGGTTAGACATGTCTGTGTTAGTCACCAGTGAGGAGAGGAGGTCTTCAGCACGCGCCGAATCTGGGTGACTACACTTTGTTGTCGGAGTAGTTGTGTCGGTGTGCGGTGAGTTGGATGTTGTCGTACTTGTATTTGTGCTGCCTGGCGGCGTTCCGGGGTGCACGGTCGTGCTGGTTGCCGACATGGGCGATGCGATGTCGTGTTCATACGACTCGTACTGGTTGTTGACTGGGTCGTTTGGGTGCGAGCTCGAGAGCACGTCTGCTTTCGGCGTGGTGTTGGCACCATCGGAGGCCGTTTGGGATACGCCGCTGGCGTGGGTCAAACTCGGGGACGCTTTTGGTGGCGAATCGGTACGGTGAGACTCCGCTTCAGCTCCGCTGTTCATGTTCCGCTCTGTAGCTGTGCTGCCAGTGCTGCTGCCTTCTCTGCCGGCATGCGTGGAGGTGTGTGCACTGCGACGGTTTTGGCAGGTACGCGCGATGTGACCTAGCTGGCCACATAGCCTGCACGTGCCTACCTGGCCGTCGTAGATGATGCGGAGCTCGTGAGAACCTTCTGTCGTACGCAGGTACGACGGGATCGAACTGCCTGGTTTGAGTTCAAACGTGGCGAATCGCACACCAATTGCTGTTTGGGTGCCGTTTGAAAGTTTGATTTTGCCGTGTCATATCTCACCGATAAGCTTTCCGTACGGTGAGAGCGCAGCTTTTAGGACACCGTCTGAGATCCAGATCGGAGCATCGTGGATGTGTATCTGTGTTGTTGGTGCGGAAACGAAGCGTGGTGAAACCCGTTCGCCCTTGCAATCGAAGCCATTGAGCACCAACAATTTGGCTTTTTCATATGACTCAACGGTAAGTCTACATTGACCCCTGCTTGTTGTCTGCATCGAAATGATGCCGGTGATACCTTGCTCTTCTAGGAGCTTTATGTAGGCCCCCACGCTTACCTGGGCTTGCGAGGGGAATACAACAGTGTTCTTCTTCAGTGTCGAAGACGAGAGCTGTCGCCAGGGCTCCGTATCAGCTCCGTTTCCGGCCATGACGCCTGGCGGTTGTAGTGAATCAGCACTCTAGGTGATCTAGTTTGCTACCTGTGCATCCACAGCCATACGGGCTGGGAGCGGACTATTATGCTAAAAAAACTACGGAGCTCCAAAAACTGCTTCCGCTCTCCAGCTAGTTGATTGTTGTTGTAAGATGATATCATAGCTGACACACAGAGTCACACACACAGCAGATTCGTGTGCACAGATACTAAATTAGTGGACGTCGTCATCTTCTTCCCGCTGATCTCAAATGTACTATGACGTGCTATTTCGCCTGACGCTATAGCCTTGGTGTTTGATTTTGAGCATTTTGTCACTATAAGCGATATATTACTATGACCGATACAGCATGCAATGTATGCGAGTGGGGTGTCAAACTACTCAGCGCGCCGTGCACATACACACTACATACATGTACAATGTCATGTAGCTGGCTGTAGCTCCTGACACACAAAATCAGCATTTCCTCATGATGGAGGCATATTTTGGCAACTTGTACGAGCAAAACTCACCAAATAACACTCACTGGACAAGTTCTTCACGAAGAAGTAACATTTTTGGCTCAGCCACCCCTTCCCAACGAGTAAATTGTACTTCAGATGGCTGACCGTACTACACTAAATAGTTTTACCTTCGGACGCCCTTGATGCCTTGAAGAGCCTGAAGTGTGTCCTTCTCAGTGTTATTAGCTTTTCTTTGAAGATAACTAGAGGTCCACACAGAGGCAGTGGGTTTTGTTCTTTTTGTTTGGTGATACTTAGATTAGCTGGTGAAGGGGTGAGTTGTGTGATTTGGTTAGTTGTTTGAAGTGACTATTTCCCACATGGGTGACAGCGATCGTGGCTAGTGTTATGAGTGGGCGGACAGAGTTCTATAATCGACAGTGTAGGCAGTTGTTTTTTTATTCCTGGTGGGACTGGTGTGGTATTGTTGTCCGTGCCTCTTTTGGAGCATGTACTCTGTCCGCGGGGGCGATGTGCGAACCGCGCGCGGACTGCGCAGGTTGCAAACCAGCGAGCATGCGTGCATTGTACGCATTATTGTTGTTCTGTTCATTGCCGTTCCTGAGAATCTCCATTGGTACTAGAATAAACATTCGGTCCCCTGTATGTGGTGTGCGCATGCAGGAGTGAGAGGTATCGGAAGAGCATATCGTCAAGGGAATGAGAGTATAAGAATCCCCCGACGACAGTATGATTGAGTGGTTGGTGTGATCTTTTCCTCTTTTTATCTGTTTATATTATTAGAGTCTGGGATGATTCTATTCCGGGGAGGGAGTTATGTTGCAGTTCATTATTTTGTGTAGCTCACATCATGTGTACGTGGTGGTGGTGCATGCGCATGCTGCTGTTGTGTGAAAAGCAATATTCATCTTCTGATTGTCTTGTCCAGTTGTGTTTCCATCGTTCACTTGCAATAAATCGTCTTCCAAATGTATTATCTCGTAGTCTTGTCTAAGTGTGGAGATGGCACAGGGCTGGGAATAGGAAAGCAACATCTTCAGACAACAAATGCCCAAAATTATTACCTTGCCCAGCCCCTTGGTTTATCATTGTATTTACAAGTATGCACTACAAAAATTTGGAAGGTGGTAATGGTCTATTGTGATGCTGTACGAGTGTATGCGTAGGTGTGCAACATTGTATGCATGCCTATGAAACACACAAGCGATGCAATATGCACCTTATAGGCCCGTCCTGAACTAAGGTCAATTCCCAAATGTACGCCCACTTCTCAGGTCTTTGTTCAGTATACGCCCGGAGCATATTTACGGACCTTTACGCTACTTGTTTCTTTTTTTTCGTGCTTGTCACTATACTTCCTTGTCCTGCAGTATCAGCATCCTAAAAAACCCGAATATTACACCTGACAAAACTTTTATGCATAGGGAAACAATGATTACAAATGTAATGGCCTTCTTACGTTTGCATTGTCCAACGTCTGTCCAATCAGTACTGGTCATTGTAGCTCTGTCATCACAAATTGCATTTACCGAAGTAGCTGTTTGTACAAATCCGGTTGTGCAACTGACGGTACCATTTGCTGCAATACTGGCATTGGCTGTACCAGGTGTAGTACAAGCTAAGTCGCACAAACAAAAGCAAGCAATCAGATACGAAAAAGATGAAGACTGCGCACCACTTTTAATTGACTTCTTTTTATGTTCTTTCAGTCAAACCGTGGTCCATGACCAATTGGCACACAAAGTGCGAGAGAGGGGTGATAGCCAACCATGGCAAGAAAACAAGAAAGAAAGTGTAGTTTCTCAGCTAGACATGTGGGTTCGGTTTATTCTGGGGGGTGAAATGAGTGTATCATTATTTTAAAGCTGTCGAGCGAGGACTCAAACTATCCAGCGAGCTATCGAGTAATTCAGTACTCGATACACGACACTGAGTCGATATTAATTAATTCCTTTTCAAGACAAAGTACAGTAGCCATACATGTACATACTGGCAGTTACAATCTCTTTGCCTCATCATCAAGGCTGGCATAAACACAAGAGTAACGAGCTCGTAAGCTGTCCCTTATTTTCACCTCCCATGTAAAACTGACACCATCCGTACCATGTATCACTATTTTTTTTAATGGCACACCAATATCACACTATGCTACCTGCCTGGATATAAGTTTGTGGTCAGATGATGTACATATTATCAGTTGTCTGAGGACTGCCTTAGCTTTGCTATGCGCACAGTACTGTCTATCAGCTGGATCTCTTTTGCGTACTGCGGCTTCTGATTTTCCAAATTTCGCAGTGTTTTTGCATACTGCCGATGTACTGCCGTGTGCACTGTATGAATTGTTTTGTTTTTGATACGCAAATGCTTGTCGGTGGCTGGATTTGCTTGCGCAAAACATGTGCGACTTGCACCACGACGTGATATTTTGTGCTGCGCGTACTCGAAGCATGGCATGCACTCGCTTTGGCACAGGGATATCCATCGCTCAGCTTGAGCTTGCCATGCTTCTACATACTTATCTGTAGCTGATCTATCCCCTTCAATTTTCCGAATTTTGCTCAAATTCTGTACTGCAGACGGAGAAGTTTTCCGTACAAATGCGGAAAAATACGGAAGGTTGGCAGCACTGTGTGCATGAAACGCAGCGCTACAACAATGACCTTTTGGCCATTTCAAAAAAGATTAGCAATCACGTTTTGTAGTCTTAAAAACTATGAAGATAAGGGAAATCCGGACAACTAAGTTGAGCTTATCAGAGCATGGCAAATTTTGCTGTAAAGGTTTCGGAACAATTGGAACAGCCGTTTTAAGGAGGTTCGAACCTTCTGCGCTGCACAACCGATCTCGCGCTCTTTTTTCCTGGGCAAAAGTCTTGTTTTTGCCAATAAGTGCCATAAATTGGGAAATTCCCATCTCAACTTACTAAAATTTGAACTCCGCGATCGACAGCCATTTCAAAGAATATTGCTTCATACTACACCTGTAGTCTTCCCTGGGCCCCATCGAGGTTCCTGATGTTCTCTCTTCCTTTTTTTGTCAGTGGGTATAGCAGGGCATGTTTTCAAAAAGCATCGCTGGTAAAGGGATGATTGCCCTCGTCTTCTGGGATGCTGGCGTGGCTAAGTGATGCTGCCCCAAGAACTCTTCTAAGGTGAGGTAATGTTGGCTTGATGGAGTTTTGTTTGTAGCTTGTTCTTGTACGCTGTGCCATGGCTCGTTTGTAGAGACCCATAAATCGTGCCAATATTGGGCCAATATTAAGGGGTATGCCAATTTCATGGTTCCCTTCAAAAGATTTGCGCGGGCTTTGGAATGTTGATCTACATCCCAAAGCAAACCTACCTGCAAAATTTGAGCGAAATCTTAGAGACCAATTTGCACATATGTTCTGGTTTTCTCAGACATGCTCTCTTAAGGCCAAAACGAGAATCATTCAGGAGGCTGTCTTGAAACATGTGTAAACAGGCGAGTGGTGACAACACAGTGATTTATGGGTCCGGTCGCTGAGCGCAGGGATGCGACAAATGCATTTCCATATTCTGAGTTTCGGAGAAACAACTGGACATCATGCACATAGATTGCACAGCATTTTATCAGCTTCCTTACGTATGCATCTACCAGTCCACTGCCATTTTCCAGCTTGAGATCCACCTCCATTGATATCACAGTTGGCATTCTGTGACGAGAGCGTTTTGAATGCACCATAGGTGCATGTTACTTCACCAGTGGCGTCAGCGATCTCCTGAACGTTTCCAAGATCAGCGTGCGAGCAACCTGCATTCAAACAAATATTCAAAATCACAAACATGAAAGCACTGATAACCATGGAAACAAGAAACAAAACAACAACCAGTGAAAAGTATCAACACCAAATTTCACTTCAAGTGCGATTTTCTCAAAATCATGTGCCGCGGGATAAGGTCCCTTTTCACTTGCGCTGGCTCCAATGATAATAACAAGGACAATGAGAGAAGCAACAGCGATAGTGCAGCACCAATCACATCAATAGGAACAAACAGCAGAGCGCAGCTGCAAAAGATAGAACAGAAACTTGCCCAGCAGCAAAAGCAACACCAATTTCATTCTTGTGTTCATCACAATCGCTGCCACTGCTAACATCGCCGCCACAACTGTTATAGACTTCAATCACCTCGTTGCAATGTCAACATGGCTGCGTATTGCTCTCGTTGGACATTATCTTGCTGCATGCTTCGTATTATTTGTTGCCGGCTTACGCATGTCCGCAGTGCATTCCATCTTGGTATGGGTAGCTTAGCTGTCAGTCACTCATTGTTTCCAACACTGTTACTCATAGTCGAGTTGTCTTGGACTGCTCTAACTTCGTACCTGTGTTACGTATGTGTTTCGGCATCCCCATCACTTTGATCGATGAGGTGACTCGGGCGTTTATTCGTTTCTGTTTTCAAGTTCCTGTTTTTTCCTTGTATTCATGTTTTGTGTCGAATGTTCTAGTGCTACGCGCGCATGCCCCACTGACCATATGGAAAGGCTGTTACCTACTAATTACATTCATGGTGAGAAGTGCTTCTGAGACTGCCGTTGACGGCCCGTGTGGCAATCTTGCTGTGATAGTCCTGTTTTGTCTTTGTACTTTGGCCCGCGGGTCTCTCCATGTCAGGCGAAATAGCACGTCACAGTACATTTGAGACCAGCGGGAAGAAGATGACGACGTCCACTAATTTAGTATCTGTGCACACGAATGTGTTGTGTGTGTGACTTTGTGTGTCAGCTATGACATCAAACCCTGTGGTGCCATGCCCAACATGTAGGTGGTAACCATCCTGCAAAGTTGGACTGCTGTAGGTTGTTGCACGATCGTGCGGGCAACCATACTCCGAAGTACATTTTGAAATTCTCTTCGTATTATACCTTCTACCATTGAAATTCAATTTTCTTGCTGAGAGGGGTAGCTTGCAACCTCGATATGGCTTGTTCCAGGCATGCCTTGAAGCGAAAGCCTGTTGAAGTAGTGGCGGGGATCTGCCCTGCAACTGCTACAACAAAAAGTGATTCGATCTGAGAAAGCGTGAGACGACGAAACTGGGTTGAATATGGAGTATTTCAAGCCTCTTTAGACGAATATGGAGTTCTTTTTGGAGATAGACGTCGCGTCAAACGATATGGTTTCTAACTTCTGGCGTCTGGTGAAGCCAGGGATCATTTGTCCAGTCATGTCGGCAGCCTAACCGTTGGTGAGCTTGTGAGTAGGATCTTGTTCTGCTCGATATGGCAGATCACAAACAAATTTGATATCGCACAAATTGAACTGTGCATTGTGCGTACGGTATTTAAAACACTCAGAAAATCGCAAAGTGTCTCTGTGTGGCTGTCCTACGTCACGAGAAACTCCAATCAGGCTCTAATGTCCTCTGTCTTCTTGATTGAATGTTGTTATGTCTTGCATTACATATAATATAATTAGTATAATATAATTATATACTTTGAGTAGTAATATCACTACCCCATGATTTGTAGTTTTTGCTCTGTTCTTCCTCTTATCGCATGCTCAAATAATGTCTATGGTATTTTCCTTGAGTAAGAAACGTGTACAAGTGCAAGATGACCTTGTCTGTCCGAATGTCCGATACTGAATAAGCGTGATTTTGAGAAGCTGGGAGGTGTAGTTTCAAACCTTTGCAAACCCACTATTCGTCTAAAGGGTTTCTCTGACAAAACCATCACATGTCTGGGCGGAACCGAAATGAAGGTTACAATGCGCAGTACTAATGTCTCGTAACAGGTCCTACTCAGAATGGTTGATAATGCAGGACCATCTCTCCTAGAGAGAGATATACTGGAGCGTTTCAAGCTCCCATGGAAAGAAGTGTTTGCGGTCAAAGCAGAATTGATCAGGCCATTGAAAAAGCTGAGTTGCGCGAGGAAATCATTTCACAGTTTCCAGAGCTTTTTGACTCCTCTTCTCTGGGCAGATTGAATACGTCTAAAGTTTCGCTTAAGTGGATAATGCCAGACCGTTTTTTTTTGAAGGCGAGGTCCGTACCATTTGCTATTACCGAGAAGTATGATGTGGCTCTCGAGAAATTGGAGAAATCAGGGATCATTTGCAAAGTCGATCAGTCAAGATGGGCATCTCCCACTGTTACTACTCCCTGGTCCGTGGTACAGACGTTATAACACGCGCACTCTCAAGCTGGGATCCGGATGTTCATGTAGTGACACGTAGATCTACCTACTCCCGCGCGCTATGAAAAGTGTTGCAAGATCTACAAGTAAGTAAGTAAATTATCGTGTCCGTTCCCGAAGGGAACTCACGACGGCCGCTAACACACGGTAAATCCTACAAGTAGTACCGGTAATTTTGGCAACATTTCGGACAAGTTGTTCTCACTTTCCAAGTAGCTTGTTGTTTTTGTGATCGAGACCACAAATTTGTCACGATTTGTTTGTGCATGTGTGTGTATATGTGTGTGTGTGTGTGTGTGTGTGTGTGTGTGCACGTGCTGTGCATGCGTGCGTGCACATGGATGTGTACATGAGGGAGCGGCTGTTCAAAACTATATGACGGCTTTGAGCAGCAAAGCCAAGTTAGCACGTGTTTTGTCACGGTTCGTCACGCGGCACATGAATAAAAAATATTTTTTTTCCGAAAACGGTGGATGAAAAAATAAATCTTGCGTGGCCGCTTTGCCCTGCCTCGTGTCAGCAAAGCAACTTCCTTGTCAACAATTTCTGTCATCCAGTTAGCCAAAGTGACTCAAGGTTGTGTTTTCTCCGTTTTCTCCTTTGTCTCTCCGCCAAGCTGTACAAGAGTATTAGTTGTGCTAGTCTGCGTAGACAAGCGCTGACTCGTGTGAGCTGGAAGCGCTTGAAAATTCACAACTTCAAACAGCGATCGATCGCGCTTGGTTGAAATATTTATTTGTTGCGTGGGCAGATAGAGTAGCTCATGGTCGCAGTAGTGAATTTCCTGGAGTTCATGAGGCCAAGCAAGAACTACTCGAAGCAGAGGACCAGTTATTTAGGCCTCGACATGGCGAGTGGCGTTGACGCCAACTCAGAAATGGCTGTGATTACCTGTCAAAAAATCTAGCCAAAGAAGTAGACAAGGAGCAGAGGCATTTACATGGACAACGTACGATGGTGGTTTGCAACATGCTACTACTACTGGAGCGACGTTGAGTGCAGGGACGATCGTTGATCATCTACGTATCAGGTGTGGTTGTCAAACGCTTGTGGCCTTTGATGTGGATATGAAGATTTTATGCCCACTGTGCGTTCGTTATGCACCACATCTGCTGTGCACGTGGCATTACCCTATCTCAGGGAGAAATCATCAACCCAGTCATTCTGGGTAAAAATATTCCTGATAGCTGTGCAGGCCAGCACAAGAACCAGTACGCTGCACTTAACAAGGTGTTTATGTTCGTGTGCTTGATGGTCAATGGAATGAGTTCAACTGAAAGCACCGGTTCCGCAGGTCTTCAACAACCTCAGCAAGGTGGTCGGCCCAGCAACAGTGGTGACGGTACTTGGCATAGAAGTCAACAGCGAGGACCAGATGATGCGGCTACCTGACAAGAAGTTATTTGCCTTTCTAGCGGCTTTGAGTGAGTAGTCCACGCGCACTAGCTACACAACGCGGGAACTGCTGTCGCTGATCGGAACCTTGTCCTTGCCGCAAAGGTGGTTCCTCCTGGCAGGACCTTCATCCGTCAACTCCTGTATCTTAGCTGGACAACTCTCACAGTCTCTTCAGTCAGTAGTCAACATCAACACAAAAGCTCACTTGGACATCGAATGGTCGCGCTCCTTTGCCGCAAACTGGAATGGCCAATCCTTCTTCTACGATGTCGAGTTTTCAAAGTCCCCTGACCTTGAGCTATTCACGGATGCCTCTGATGTTGGCTTCTGCGGTTTCTATCAAGGACAATCGTTTTTGGGGCAACGGGCCGCTGAGATGCGGCATGAACCTATTGTGATTACTCGCTTCCGAGAACTGGCTTCCACAGCCAACCAGTGCCTGGTGCCAACTCCTCCGCTGAACTCGCCGCTCTGATTGCTGCCAGCAATGATCTCATGAGCGACTCAGACCTTTAAGCCCGGTATTTGCGCACACATAATCTGATGTACCCAGTTTCGGCTATGGCCGAGTTCCGGTCCCTGACCGCTACTGCCGGCAGCTCACGGCCAGTGTTTGTGTTCGTCGACGGCGGCTACTTCTCCCGAGTTTTCTCGACTAGGATCCTCAACTGCAACCGGGTGAGCTCCCATTCTGTGCGCATTGGCGGGGCCACACTCATACCTCACCGGAGTACAAGTGTCTGTGAAGCAGCCATATGCCGTGCAGGCTGCTGGCGAAGTGCAGCATCCGATCACTATGTCAGGCGTGCAGCCGGTATACCCAATGGCTAGCAGCAAAGACTGGAACAGCCCATGCCCATGTGGTGTTGAGAACAGAAGTGAGGTACATTTGTAGTGTTGTACAGTGTTGTGCCTTCCGCTTGTTGTGCAGTCCTTGTGCCGGTGTGGCTCTGTGGGTATCACTTAGGGGTTTGCCATGGTTACTTGCAGGAAGTTATGCTAATGAGCGATGCCGTGAGAAATGCTTGGTCGTAAACACTGGTTTTTGGGAGGGTCAAATGCATTTGCCTCTCGGTGTTGTGCTGTACTGTCTCAGTGTTGTGACACCTGTATGTTGTTGTGTGGTTGACCCGCCGGTTTGAGGCATGGGTGGTCAACTGTGTATGTTGTATCGGTGTGTTCCCGTTTGAAGTTGCCGGGCCACCATGTGGTTGACCCGCCGAAAATGGAGGCATGGGTGGTCAACTGTGTCTATTGTATCGGTGTGTTCCCGTTTGAAGTTGCCGGGCCACCATGTGGTTGACCCGCCGATAATGGAGGCATGGGTGGTCAACTGTGTCTATTGTATCGGTGTGTTCCCGTTTGAAGTTGCCGGGCCACCATGTGGTTGACCCGCCGATAATGGAGGCATGGATGGTCAACTGTGTATGTTGTATCGGTGTGTTCCCGTTTGAAGTTGCCGGGCCACCATGTGGTTGACCCGCCGAAAATGGAGGCATGGGTGGTCAACCGTGTATGTGTATCATTGAAGTTGCAATACGTACATTGCTGTGACTTGCCCGATTGCTGTTGCCGGGCACCTACGCATTTATTTGCCTACTTGTGAAGAGATATCTCTTCTGGTTTATTGCATAATTCTTGGCTCAATGTTATCCACGGTGTCGCTCGATGCAAAGTCTCGTAAATATTTATCAGACAAAATTGAAAAAAAAAAAAAAACTATGGCAAACCCCACTTCCTTGTATTCTATCTGCTTGGTGTACACGTGTCCACGTTTTGTACGTTTGGCACGCACATGCGTGCGTGTGTATGTGAGAGCGTGTCTGGATAAATGTGCATATTGATGTTTTGGTTGTTTTAAGTATATTGTGTGTATGCGTGCATGCATGTGGGTTAAATGACGGCTTTGAGCAGCAAAGCCAAGTTAGCCCACGCATGCACGTGTTTTGTCACGGTTCGTCACGCGGCACATGAATAAAAAATATTTTTTTTCCGAAAACGGTGGATGAAAAAATAAATCTTGCGTGGCCGCTTTGCCCTGCCTCGTGTCAGCAAAGCAACTTCCTTGTCAACAATTTCTGTCATCCAGTTAGCCAAAGTGACTCAAGGTTGTGTTTTCTCCCCTCCCTCCCTCCCTTTAGACATGACACGTCGGTATCTTGTGCCACATGACGAGGCCCCAAGGAGGGTCAAATGCATTTGCCCCTCTGTGTTGTGCTGTACTGTCTCAGTGTTGTGACACCTGTATGTTGTTGTGTGGTTGACCCGCCGGTTTGAGGCATGGGTGGTCAACTGTGTATGTTGTATCGGTGTGTTCCCGTTTGAAGTTGCCGGGCCACCATGTGGTTGACCCGCCGAAAATGGAGGCATGGGTGGTCAACTGTGTCTATTGTATCGGTGTGTTCCCGTTTGAAGTTGCCGGGCCACCATGTGGTTGACCCGCCGATAATGGAGGCATGGGTGGTCAACTGTGTCTATTGTATCGGTGTGTTCCCGTTTGAAGTTGCCGGGCCACCATGTGGTTGACCCGCCGATAATGGAGGCATGGATGGTCAACTGTGTATGTTGTATCGGTGTGTTCCCGTTTGAAGTTGCCGGGCCACCATGTGGTTGACCCGCCGAAAATGGAGGCATGGGTGGTCAACCGTGTATGTGTATCATTGAAGTTGCAATACGTACATTGCTGTGACTTGCCCGATTGCTGTTGCCGGGCACCTACGCATTTATTTGCCTACTTGTGAAGAGATATCTCTTCTGGTTTATTGCATAATTCTTGGCTCAATGTTATCCACGGTGTCGCTCGATGCAAAGTCTCGTAAATATTTATCAGACAAAATTGAAAAAAAAAAAAAAACTATGGCAAACCCCACTTCCTTGTATTCTATCTGCTTGGTGTACACGTGTCCACGTTTTGTACGTTTGGCACGCACATGCGTGCGTGTGTATGTGAGAGCGTGTCTGGATAAATGTGCATATTGATGTTTTGGTTGTTTTAAGTATATTGTGTGTATGCGTGCATGCATGTGGGTTAACTTAAAATAGTTTTTTATTAAACTACTAAAAATACCAAGAGTTTTGTATTGTATTGTAATATATTGCTTATGTTTTACATCGCAAGTCAAAACGGGCAATCATGCCCAATGTTATGATGGCGATGGCAAGGGAGAAGAGATTAAGAACAAGATTAGATATCCCGGATTATGGGGAGTGAAGAAAACAGTGAGTCTAGGAATCTCTCCTTAGATTATCTTAACACTGGTCATGAAAGTAGACTTTCAATGGACATGAGAGTTGCGATGTGCTAGGGCAGGCCAGCTAGAGGGGAATGCTACGCTGTGAGCTTCCGAAGTACATCTATTCTGTGTTTGTTTTATGTGATGCATTGCAAATCCAAGGACAATCATCCCAAAACGGATAAAATCTAAGATTACCGTGAAGAATATTCGATATTCGTTCGATAAGGAAAGTAATCGTTTGTTAACCTTATAGAGTATTCGTTGCAAGCCTAGTTTCTTTTGATAATAACTGAATTGGGGAATTGTGTGTTGCTCCCTACATGGGAGCTCGCGGTTTTCCTGCCGACTTGAATTCTCACTTGACTGACTCACGACTGCCATCCAGAGCACACGAGAATTCCACCGAACCGTCCACACGGTAAGCCTGCAAGAAAGCACCACTCCCTGCTCAATGCACAGTGTTTCGGGGAATTCACCCCTCATCAGTTGAGCTTGTGTAGGCTGAGGAAGATTGTGCCTGAAGAGCACCACTTATATATTGCTCTCCAGGCACAAACATCACCAGGGATACAAACCTCCAGAGACGCTCCGTTTCCAGCGCGGCAAACATCTCGTGAACACCAGATAGTAGCGTAAGTCAGCGTCGCTCATGGAGGTGCTGAACAAGCGCTGAGGACCGCTGGCCATTCACAATGTCCTTGCCTCCAAACCGTCTATTTCGCAAGCCCGCGCTGGGGACAAGAATGTGAAGAAGAAGTTGGTGCGACTTCGGCGATACTTGGGGGAATTGTGTGTTGCTCCCTACATAGGAGCTCGCGGCTTTCCTGCCGACTTGAATTCTCACTTGACTGACTCACAACTGCCATCCAAAGTACACGAGAAGTCCATCGAACCGAATAACTGAATTGGACAATCATTATAATGGAATAGACACAGAGTCGTCATCACTGAATAAATCACTTACACTTGGGAAGCTTCCCTCACTGACATGCCTCTTGCATAGGTGTGAAACACAGGTGTTGGGAAGGTGACAGTGACTGAATGTGACAATATGCCTTGGTTCTGGTGGTGAATATCTCACCTACACCGTTGCCACTCAACTCACTGTATCTGTTATTCTTATAGCGCCATATCATGCTGTACTTGGTGGAAGGATTTGTTCTCATGATATGTTTTGGTGCTCGCGTTAAATGTCTCACTTACACCTCTGCTACTAAAGTTTCTGTATTCCACTTCCTCCGTTGTGTTCTTGTCATGATCTTTCTGTCGGCATTAGACAAACATGTCAGTGATCTATTCCCTACATAGAGTAGCCGCAGCGTCGTCCATCGTTCTGATAGGCTTTTGAACCTCCGAAAAGCGTGGAGTCCTTGAAAAAATCTGCAAAGCATAACCATTTCTTGACAGGATGCCAGCAGAACACAACCCAGGCGCATGACACCGAAGTGCGAAAATAGGGAACAGTTTGACGGACTGGGTGGCTCGAAGAAGTGCCCAGAATTCATGCAGAAGCCGGCCAGCCCCTGCTGGACCAGCACGATGGTACAGCAGGTCAGCACACAGCTAAAATAAATCAATGCACGTGTGTTTGCAGCTCTGGGGAAAGCAAAAGGGTTCGACATACGGGTTGTTGTTCAGCCGGCGCAAAGTCCCGATCTCAAAGTCGACTACTTGGCGAACTTCGACAACCTGAAGACAGACGCGTCACCCGCACTTTGGTGCATGCTTCGTATTACCTTGTTGCCGGGTTCGCGCATGTCTATGGCAGTTCCATCATGGGGCTCTCCCATACCTTGTTGCCTTTGACTTTGCTCAGCTCTTTCTTGTTCCTACCACTATCAACATAACTTGTAAACTAATTTCTCTTCGTGTTGCTTGTTGTTTGCCGAAAGCATGAAAGAGTACTTCGAAGTAGGTTACACCATCAATAGCCAGATGACGACCCTGGAGGACCTAGGCCACTCAGTATCAAACAGCGCCAGGCGCCCCCAACATCTACTCCCACCTGCTAGAGCCAGCACACACACCCGTGCCACCTTTCTCTTTGTCACCACTGCCACATGGAACTCCCTCCCGGCTGCCATTCGTACTGTATCCAGCCCAAAATGTTTTACCGCTCTTGTCCGCACACACTTTGCTATCACCCGTTATGAGCCCTCTAGTTTCATTCCACGTAGAGAAGCTGTCGAAAGATTAGAATTCCCAATCTTTCGATTTATCAACACAGGTCACAAGTCCGATCTCACCTCTACAGGTGGCACACATCATAGAACAAAGGAGTCTGTAGTAATCGCTCTTTCCAGAATAATACTAGAGAACAACAAAACTGAAAACCACTCGTGTCCAAGAAAACGCAGCATAACCCACCACCGTGGGAGAAGAAAAACACATTCGCAAAAGTGCGCCAAACTGTGCTGCATGCACGTGCCTTGACAAGTACATGTACAGTCATGCATACGTGGGCCAGAACAAGTCATACAAAGCACGGGAACGTGGGCATGGAACTAGCGTTTTGTACTGAAACAAGAACAGGCACAAACATGATACAAATCGCGCGACAAGGTCGCCGCGACACTCCAGCCGACCGGGAATGTACACCGGGAGGTAACTTATAGAGCATAAGCAATGCAGATACACACGCACACGCACACACACACACACACACACACACACACACACACACACACACACACACACACACACACACACACAGCAAGCAGTTAAACAGGCATACAGAGAGTTTTATGTGCTTGTGAGGTCACTGCCAATTGGACCAAGCACCACCTAATCCTCACACTCTGACACGGTGAAACTAATCAGGCGTGTGGGATGTGTACGTGCAGCAACGATACAGCTGTCCACTTTGCAATATTCTGCCGGGCCTTGTCAGCTGCCGCACGAGTTGGTTGCTGGGGGTTGTCAGATGCTGGTACAGTAACTGGCACCTCACTTGCAGTTTCCGGGAGTTCCGTTGGGACTTGGCGACACTCAAGGCCGTACAATTTGCATACTGGTCGATTGACCTCCTTGCCTGTGCTGGTTATATTGCGGGCAGCCCGGACGGCGCCGTCGGTCTGGCTCTTCTCTAGTGCGACAACACGGGCCAGCTTCCACATGCATCTTGGAGCCGTCTCTTCGTCAACGAGGACAACTTCGCCCACACTAGGTTCCGGTGGGGGTTTGGGGCAATGTTGCCGTTTGGACGTGTGAGCCATCCGCTCTTGGAGCACTTGGAGGTAGTCTGTTCGCCACAAGCTCCAGAACAGTTCGCTTTGGGTCTGCCTGTGACGCCACTCGGTGAGCAGGGATAATGCCGGGTCGGTACTTGGAGGTGTATACTCGGGGTCATCCAGCGCAGTTGAAAGTGGCAGAGCAGCTGAACGACTTCCAAGGAGGAAGTGAGCAGGAGTCAGTATCTCGACATCCCTGCCCTCGTAGTCGGCGGTGACGGAGGTAAGGGGTCTGCTGTTGACTGCCGCTTCGGCTTCAGCTAGAAGAGTGGCAAGCTGATCAAGACGGAGGTGCTGACGCCCCAGTGCCTTCCGTAGGCTCCGCTTCACTAGCCCCACCATTCTTTCGTACACTCCTCCCTGCCAAGGTGCGAAGGCGGTTGTGATTTTCCAGGTGATACCCTGGCTGGTGAAGTATTTGGCAACACCAGGGTCCGTGGCGACTGTGCTCCACAGCTGGTCGAGCATACCACTGGCTGCTTTGAATTGCGATGCGTTGTCTGAATACAACAGGCGGGGTACCCCTCTCCTGGCCACGAATCTCCGGAAACAGGCAATGAACTGAAGCGCTGTCATATCAATGACCCACTCGAGATGCACAGCACGTACCGCAAGACATGTCAAGAGGCAAACCCAGACCTTGGATGTTGTAGTGCCATCGGCTTGCTTCACCAGTATCGGACCAAAATAATCGAGGCCAACATACTCGAATGGGGCTGCTGGAACCACTCGTTCCTTCGGTAGGGCTGGAGGGGACGGCAGCTTGTACGGTGGTCCTTCATGCCTGCGGCAATTGGTGCAATTTCGGAGGATGGAACGAACCGCTCGGCGGCCCTGCGGCACCCAGAAGTTGAGTCGCAAATGGGCTAGCGTGTGGGCTGTGCCGGCATGCAAGAGGCGGCAGTGAACGTCAGTAATGACGAGTCGGGTAAGCCGGTGAGTAGCTGGTAAGAGAGCCAGGGCCGGATGACCAGCCAATGCAAGTCGCCTATGACAATGTAGTAGGCCGTGATCATCAATGGCGACGCCAAGTTGTCCGCAGATGGGGCAATGGTTGTTGGTTGCGAAGCTCTGGAACACATCAGCAAAGCATTCAAGCTGAGCCATCTGAATGAGTACAGCTAGAATGAGACGCCGAGAGGCCGCATTGAGATGCGAAGATGAGGCTAGAGCGGTCAGCAATGAACAGAGGAGGGGGTGAGTGGTTCGTAGGCGAGACTGACTGACCGGCAACAAACGGGACCAGAGCCGCTGCTGGATGAAGTTACAGACGTAGAAGCTGATGCGAATAAGTCGCTCTAGCGATGACACCCGGTCACAGATAGTGGTGGCGATGGCAGGCCGTGACTGGGGGAATGCTGTGGCGATTAGCGTGGCACCATGCAACACCTTCGGTCCACGAA